CCCCCCCGTTGGATATCCTCAGGGACAGGAGAGGGTGGTGTTAGCCCCCTCGGCTGCACACAGTACATGGCACACTAGAACCACTGCTCGTTTACTGGAATAACACATAGGAGCAGACACTTTATAAGAAGTGTGATGAGGTAACTGCAAAAAACACAGCCAGGAGTTTCTGCTTATGTTTTTAGTCTGAACAGCTTAGGTCACTAAGTATGATGTAAAGGTGGTGTTAATAAACACCCTCCCTCCCGAAGTCAGTATTAACAATTTCAAGACACTTTCCCCCGTCGCTTTTTAGTCATTAAGAAAAAGTATTCTATTACTTTCTCTCTTAGTTTCTACCGGGATATCCGTTGCAACAGCAGAAGTGTAAGTGACTTGACAAACTGCTCCTTTGCTTATACCTAACAAACAAAACCCCAGGAGGCTTTAATTCCTAAAAATGAAACTTCTCTCTCAAAGTTACTAACCATACACGAACTTAACAACAGAACTGCTCCTCTAAGGAGGTTGATCTCGCAGCCCTCACCCCTTCCATCTGGACCTACAAATCACACACATACAGCAACTAGTTAAGAAAGGAGAGAAAACCAGTAGTTTGCAGGAAGCCGATATCAAAGAGCCTCCCTCCCTCATGTTTATGCATGAGTAACTTAGCTTTCAATCACTTCAACAGAGTACTTACTCCATAAACAAAGGACAACATTTAAGTTGAACTGTTGCAGTCTGAGCTTTATTTAAAACAACTAACATCTAATCTATGTAGTCCTGAGGCAGTATTGAACTTCTATAGCATCCAGGGAAACTCCAGAACAGTGATGTCACTCTGCACTGGGCCAAGCATTGAGTCAAGGTATGTTAAGATAAAGTGCGTCATCTCACCTATGCTGGATCAAGTCCGAGAAACTAGTAACCTAAATTCTTCCTAAACTTCTTAAAACCCTGAGTGAGAGGGAAAAAAAAAAAAAGCAATTAGAAAATAACTGCAAAGCAAGAATAAAAAAGTCTATGTAAAGGTGTATACATTGTTATCTATTAGGTAGCTTAGTTTGAGACTAGTTGCATAGGTGCATGTGCTTACATAAAGGGTAAAACAGCCCTTAACAGTCTTGGAATAGCCATGTGGAACCAGCTGTTTAAAAGTATGGTAGTATTACAGCTTTGTAGACTATTACAAAATACTTTCCATATTTGCTTTGCCATTTATCTTATCACCTACTTCAGCTTTAATTCCTTCAAATTAATTATGCATTTGTAGTTACAGTGTGTATACAACTTCAGCACCTGCATAACTAGTACACAGACTTGACAATATTTAAATACCATGGTTTTAGCGGAGGTCACAACTAAGGTAACCGTGTTATAAAGTCAAGGTGTAGTTGTGTTAACAACCACTTAAGTAACATGGCTTCTGTTTCTTAATTTTAACCTGTGGCTAAACTTAAGCCTTGCAGTCCAAGTCTAAGGGTTTTTAGAGGGCAAAAGGGGAGAAAAAGACCTCTCAAACCCACTAAAAACAATTTTTTAAGACATAAATTGCACTTAGATCAAGCTGTAAACCAGAGGTAATAAAGATAAAACCTAAGTATATTGTGATAAATATAGTAATGGTGTCTCCACAAGTTTTAAATACTAGCAGCAGGAAGAATGCTAGTGCACTGGGTCTGGCTGAACTGGAATTGGTTTTCCCCTATAGCAGCCCTCACGGTGCTGTGTTTTATGTCGGGAGCTGGCAGGGTGTTGATAGCACCCTGGTGTTGTGGCTACTGCTGAGCAGTGCTTACACAGCACCAAGGCTCTTTCTGATATTTTCCCCAGTGGGATGGGGTGGGCAAGATCTTGGGAGGGGACACAGCCAGGACAGCTGACCCAAACCGACCAAAGGGATATTCCATACCATATGACATCTGCTCAGTATAAAGCTGGGAGAAAGGAGGAAGGGGGTGGGGTCACCCTTGGATCTCCGAGGCAACCACTACGCATATTGGAGCCCTGCTTCCTGAGAAGGCCCGACATTGCCTGTCCATGGGAAGTAGAGAATAAATCTGTTTGCTTTTGCTTCCGCGCACGGAATTTTGCTTCGCTTTGCTTATATTAAAACTGCTTTTGTTTCACCCACAAGGGTTAGTTTATCTTCTTTCCCCTCTTTATCCCTGTCTCTTATA